ATATATATTTCCCTGTGCTGTACAGTATACTCTTGTTTATGTATTCTACATTTTGAAATCCCAGTCTGTCCCTTCCCACCCTCTGCCCCCTTGGCAACCACAAGTTTATATTCTATGTCTGTAAGTCTGTTTCTGTTTTGTATTTTATGTTTTGTTTTGTTTTTGTTTTTGTTTTTAGATTCCACATATGAGTGATCTCATATGTTTTTTTCTTTCTCTTTCTGGCTTACTTCACTTAGAACGACATTCTCTAGGAACATCCATGTTGCTGCATATGGTGTTAGGTTGTCGGTTTTTATGGCTGAATAGTGTTCCATTGTATAAATATACCACATCTTTATTCAGCCATCTGTTGGACATTTAGACTGTTTCCATGTCTTGGCTATTGTAAATAGTGCTATGAACATTGGGGTGCAGGTGTCATTTTGAAGTAGGGTTCCTTCTGGATATATGCCCCAGAAATTATTATTTATAACTATACCTAGACATAGAATAATAATAGAGATTCACTTACTATATTAGTTAAAAATACTTAAAAATAAATATTACTTTCTTAGCATATTGTGAAATGCAAGTATTGAAGCCAGATTGCCTGGGTTGGAATTCTGGGCAGACATAGGGTTTCAGCAAGTGACTTAGCCTTTCTGTGCCTCATTTTCTTCCTGGGTAAAGTACCTAATGTATTACCTACCTCCCAGAATTGATGAGAGGATTAAAATGTCTTTAAGACATGTGAAGTGCTGATAGTAATGCACAGTGGTTGCATACTAAGTCCTCAAAAAAGCTAATTTCATGATTATTAGAAAAGGGTTTCTTTCCTATAAGGACTTAAGTAATACTTTCCAAATAGGTTTTAGTGCCTTAAATGCCAGTTTTTATTGAAAATGACAACAACAAGAAAATCCTGGTATATTTTTTCCTATCAAATAATGCAAGTAACCTTATGTTTTTCCTTTTCCTTTGTTTGTCTGCTTGATCTAAATTTAATACTTTGTTAATAATATAATTGATATACTTTCTTTGTCCTTTAATGTTAAGGTTTCCATTTTTTGTTTAACCCCTTTTATTGAAAATTAATTATCAATGCAAAGATTTTATATAAAAAATAATAGGTTAACATATTTCTTGTATTTTCAATATTTAGTATTTGGCTGAAATGAATTGCTTTTTTTTTTAGGTCTTCAAAGAAAACATCTGCTAAAAAGGACAAGGTATAGTAAAATATTAATTATAAAAATATTATCCTGTAGTAAAAAAAATTCATAAAAGATAGAGTGGGAAAACAGAAAATCCTCCTTTGTTGTAGAGACATTTACGTAAAAATAATTTAGAAACACTATTGATAAAGTTAGCCTTTTGACAAAAATCAGTTCTTTCAAGAAGTGTCTGTGTTTGTGCTCTCATAAAAAGATGGATATTTATCACCTCAGTACACTGAGCATATTTTATAACTATGTTGGAGACACTGTGAAATAGCATTATTTATTTGTAGGTCAAAGAGCAGGTGAATTCTGTGGATGACCTCGATGACTTAACTCTGTCACCGGAAACAGCTCCCGAGGACCGCGAGTCGCTTTACCCTAATTATAAGAATACCCTGAGGCTAATCGAACAACTTGGCCTGGAGAGTAAAGGTAGGACCCCCGCATGACTACACAGCCTTTTTAAGTATCTCGTGGTAACGTGTGCGCACCTAGTACTGCCCCGGAGAGCACGGATACGTTACAGTCCGCTGCGCCTCAGAAACCTGCTTTGTGTTACAGCAGAATCAGACGTGTTCTGTGCTGCCAGCCAGGGGCTGTGGCCGTTCCCACTCCCTGTGCTTTGTGTTGACTCTGCTGCCCCTACGCCTTCACCCAAGGTCAGGTCATCACTGCTTCCCTCCTAGAACGCTGAAATCACCTCAGGACTTTCTTCTCCGCCGTTCCACCTCCTGGAACCTTGGTCTACACCGCAACCATGATTACTAGATAGTTCTTAAAATTCAGATCTTTGTTACCCTCTTGCTTACAATCCAGCTCCTGCTTCTCACAGCTCCATGGTTAAAGGCCGCAGTCCTCTGGCTTCATCTTGTTTCATTTTATTACCCTTCTTTTCACATGAATTTTAGAATCAGCTTGTCAATGTGAAAAAAAAAAAAGTCTGCTAGTGTCCTGGACATTAGATGTAGATTATGTTGAATCTGTAGATTAATTTGGGGAAAACTGACTTCTTAACAATATGGAATTTTTAACCCTGAACAAAGTTTATTTCTCCACTTATATAGGTCTTCCTTGATTTTCTCAGTAATATTTTAGAGTTTTTAGTGTCTGGGTCTTTCCATCTTCCATGAGTTTACCTGTATTTCTTATTTTTCAGTGTGGTTGTAAGTAGTATATTTTTATTTGTTTGTTTTAAAATAATATAATTTAAATTTTAGTTTCTGATGATAGAAATACAGTTGATTTCTGTATGCTGACTCTGTGCCCTCCAACCTGGCTGAACCCATTGATTAGTTCTAGTAGCCTTTTTATGGATTCTCTCAGATTTTCTATGTAATCAAAGGTGGTCAAGCTTTTTCTTCTTTAAACTACTGTCTTACTAAAGATAGTTCACATTTAAGACTTGCAGCCAATAAATACATTCTCTGTCACAGCTAATCAGCTCTGTCACTGTTGCGACAAGAGTAGCCATAGACAATACAGAAATTAATGGACGTGACTGTATTTCAGTAAAACTTTATTTACCAAAGCAAGCAACCCAGCCCACAGGTTGGAGTTAGCTGACTCGCACCATGTAATCATATTCCCCGCTGACTAGCAGACAGTTTTACCTCTTCATTTCCCATCCAGATGCTTTTTGGTTCTTTATTTTGCCTGATTGCACTGGCTCCAGTATAGTGCTGAGTAGGAGGAGTAAGAGAAGCCATTCCTGTCTGGTTCCTCACCTTCTGGGAAAAGCATTCCATTTTTCACCATTGCATATGGTGTCAGCTGTAGGGTTAGGACAGATCTTTGTCATAGTGAAGACGTTCCCTTAGTTCCTAGTTTGCTGGAAGTTTTTATTAGGAATAGATGTTGAGGTTTGGGAAGTGCCTCTTTTTATCCACTGACATGATCATATGGTGTTTCTTTTTTAGTTTGTTAATATGATGAATAACATTAATTGATTTTTACGTGTTAATACAGCCCTGCATTGTTGGGATACACCTCACCTGGCCATGATGAATTATCCTGTATTGTTGGATTTAATTTGCTGATCTCTTGTTTAGAATTTTTACCTCCATTTTCATGACATTAGTTTTCTTTCTTGTAATATCTTTGTCTGGTTTTGGATTCAGGTTAATGCTAGCTCTGTAGAATGAGGACATATTTCTTCCTCTTCATTTTTTGAGGAGAATTTGTGTAGAACTGGTATTAAATTTTCCTAAAATGTTGGGTAGAATTCAGCAGTGTAACCATTGGGACTGGAATTGTCTTTGTGGTCAGGTCTTTAAACAGGACTTTCATTTTGGTTTTTAAGATATAGGGCTTTTTAGCTAATGTGTTCTTTCTTAATTGAGCTTCTGTAATTTCTCCCTTTCGAGGAATTTACCCACTTCATCTGGATTGTCAGATTTATTTACATAATGTTCACAATACTACTTTGTCATTCTTTTAATATCCGCAGAGCTTAGAAGAATGTCTTCCACAGAATAGATGCTCAGCACCATCTGTTCAATGTGTGGATGAGTGAATGCGAAATGCACAGTCCTTCATACACAAAAATTACTCATTCATTTTATTTCTATTTGTGTTTTCTTCCTAATGCAGATTATGGTACCTTGTTGAAAATTCAGAATGCAGTTCATTCATTCGGAAGCTTAATAGAATGCAAAGAATCTGACTGTGAACTGCTTAGAGGAAAAGTTAGAAAAATGGAAAGTAAGGTTAACAAGCTGCAAAAAGAGCTTTTGGAAGCAAGAGAAATGCATTCACAGTTAGAACGTCAAAATGTGGCGTGGGAACGAGAGCTCTGCAGCCTGAGGTACTGAATTTCTTGGTTTTGAAGAAATCTTTGAACTCTGTATTTAATACTGTAGATATGTAGGAGAAGTCTTACCATTGCTAACTGACCTTTTGGGATTTTACAGGGGAGAAATTTTCTTTAGTATTGTGGAATATGAGACTCTTGGAAATAACACAGCAATATATATATATCGCCTCATTCTATGTTGTCCTCCAGAAAGTTTATATTACTTTTACATTCTCACTTGCAGAATTATGAAATGAACATTTCTCTCAAGGCAGAAACTTAAAAAAA